GATGAGGAATTGATTGATGAAAAAGGCAAGGTAAGGAAGTGGAAGGAAAAAGAAAGGGTGCTGTTGGGTTCTTGCAAGTGCTGTGTTTCAAACAAAACCTAGCACGTGCTGGGTTCGATTGCTTGCTGGGTTTGAAATCGAACCCAGCAAGCAATCGAACGCTTGCTTGAACCCAGCAAGCGATCAAACCTAGCACTTGCTGGGTTTTAAAAATCTTGAACCTAGCAACCGCTGGGTTTCTGCAAGGCATGGGTTTCATTTCAAACCCAGTAGGTGCTAGGTTCCATTCCTGCAGGTGCTGGGTTCAATTCATACTTGGTTCCATTTCGAACCCAACAGCTGTTCAGTTGATGGACCTGTTGAGTTTGATTTGTTTATTGATCTATTGTCTATTGTGTCATCCTTGGATCCTTGCAGGTGCTGGGTTCGATTTCAAACCCAACAGGTGATCAAACCCAGCAGGCGTTGGGTTCTGTTTCAAATCGAGCAACCGTTGGGTCGATGGATCTGTTGAATTCTATCTATTTTTCAATTTGTTGTCTGTTGTGTTATCCTTGGATTCTTGCAGGTGCAGGTGATCAAGCCCAACAAGTGCTAGGTTTTGTTTCAAACCCAACGGCCTTTAGGTCGAAGGATCTATTGAGTGCGATCTATTGATTTGTTGTGTTATCCTTAGATTTAATATTAGAAGGTGTTAAGGTTTGCAAAAAGTGAAAGAAAGGGAGAGGAAGAAGAAAGGGAAAAAGGAAAAACAAAGGAAAAAAAAAAAGGAAAAAGAAAAATTTTGAGGTTTTTCCTTGCCATCTCATTTTTTTGCCACGCTGTACATCTTAGGTGTCAAAATGCTTTTACAAGTCATCCTTTTCCCATCAAGTAATGAGACACATAGATGGATATTTAACGAAAGGACCAAATCAGGGTTAAAATAGTACATAACAGGGACCAAATTAGGGATTTTTTTAGTTTAAGGACCAAATCAGGGGTGTGTACAATAGTTCAGGGACTAAAATGGGGTTTTAACCAAAAAATAATATTAATTTTTGAGATTATTAATGTTTATTAGTCAAATCTCTAAAAAATTACAAGAAAAAGCACCTTAAAGCTACGTCATTCGTTAAAGCACAATGAGAAAAAACCAAACAAACTCATTCTTGCTTTAAAATAAGTTATTTGTCTTTTTCAATAAGGATTTAAAGAAATAACGTAGTTTTGAAATGTTTTTCCTCTTAATTTTTCAAAGGCCTGGTTGACAAAAACACTTCACTCTTAATTTTTTAAATTTTTGCCTAAATGTATCTAAACTTCTTGCACATCTTCTTTCTTCTCCTACCCTTGCCCATCTCATTTGTTTAGTAACAATCCAGCCCACTAATGATATTGTTTGCTTTAGTTAGCACATTAGATCTCATAATTTTAAAATGCATCAAGTTAATGGGTGTCAACTTATATACCTAGCATCTCTTTCATGTTTTGTCTATATGTGATTTGCCTAGAGTGTCATTTACACCTCTCCTTTTAGGACTTAGTGTCCTATTAAGATTTGCCTCAACACTGTTCAAGGGGTTAAACAAAGTGACTTTGATACTATGAGTAATGGCCTAGCCCACTAATGTTATTATCTATTTTGGCTAATTGGGTCCTAGAATTTTAAAACATGTCAATAAAAATTAGTAAGTGTTGATTTATGTATCCAACATCCTCAAATTTATATCAATGTGAAATTTACATTGGTTGTCACATGTTTGTTAAAAATACCCTAAATCATCACCTTTGCATTGCCTAAAACTATTATAGAATATTCTATATATTGTGCTGCAAGATTGTTATCCCAACCATAAGCCAAATTTCTTCACTCCTCCTTTGGACCTCTTCCTTTCTTGAGATTTATGTAGTTTGAAAAATGTGTACTAGACTTCAAGTGTTTTTGAGTTTTAATCTTCAATATTAATAAACTTAAAACATTGAGTGCACATTTTCCAAATTATAAGGGAGTTAAGAATAAAGTTTCATAGTATTAGAGGTTAACTGTATATTTTCAACTTCCATAAACCTCAAGTGTACATTTTTGTGATTTGGAGAGTAAGACCACCACTCCAAACCTCATAGGAGTAAGTGCAATTTTTGCAATAAAATATACAATAGCACCTATGAAGGAAAAGTCCGTAACAGAGTTTCATGGAAATTTTTTTGGGTAAATAGTTCTTTGGAAATTTTTTTTTTGGTAAATAGTTTGCTAGAAATTAACTCCAACACCTTTGTGCTATATATATTTACATGCCAACAATAAGTTTAGATCATGCAAGTAAGGAACCATAAAAAAACAAAAAAAAAAGGTCATGCAAATAAGGGCCATGGCAAACAATGGAATTGGAGTTGGTGAAGGTTTCTATGGAGAGTGTAAGTATTTAATTTCAATCTCATAAATTTATTTATCTTTTGCCTCATACTAATATTTCTATTAATTGGAGTATATATATATAGTAATTTTTTTCTTCTTCTCATATCCTTCCATAAAATAATTTCCCTTTGCTACTTTTGATTGGATATAAATGCCTTAATTTGCAGCAGTAAGTTCGAGTTACCATACTTCAGAGAATTTGCTTCATGGTAATTCCATGGATCAAGAGGAAGACCAAAATCTGCGACAACAATCAGGTCAATCCTCCCCCACGAATGCAATTCTACCAGGTTTCTTGCCAAGCTCGATAACAAACCAAGGTAGTCAGGCCGTAGCAGGAACTCAGCAGTGCCCATGGTTGCTGAAACAATTTGGTCAGCCCATAGGCCTTCAAGAGCTTTTACTAGGTTTCTTGCCAAGCTTGACGACTAATCAAGGCAGTCATCAGGCCATTACCACAGAACAACCTTTGATCCATCAACATTTTTGTCAATCTCTGGCAACATCCTTCGGGGATCCTCATTCCTAGAGAAATTATATGGCTGGTATAGTGCACGGCATTTGCTACTCAAAAAAAGAGCTTATGATAAAGCATATAGGCAAAGAGTCAAGGTGAAGATCTCTGTCTCTTTTATGATTTCGTTTGCACTTTGTTAGTTTAGTGATGAATAATTATTATTATGAAAAATTGTTTTGCAGATTAAATTGTATTAAATTGTTAAACTGTATTAAATTGTAAAATAATTACCCTCAAATTAGAGAAGAGTCCCTTAATATTGGGTCATCTTCTCAATCTAAAGGTCTTGATTTTGAAGTTCAATACAATTCAAACTATAAAATAAATTTTTATTATTTTAAAAAAGTATTTTACAAAACAGATTGTACATTAAAAGTACAATTTAACTAATAAATTTATTAAAATACCTTAAATAAAATAACAATAAATTATATTACTTAATTCTTCAATAAAATACTCCTTGTAGAAATCTCAATCAATCAATATTTCAACCCACTATTTTCATTTACAAAAAACTTAAATGTTTCATTAGTTCGATCATGAATCATGAGATGAATTATATCTCTATACATATATAAAAGAAAAGGTTTTTCTTTAGTTTGTTTTTCATTCCTATTCTTCTTAATGAGGAAAAGGGGGCTTAAACTAAAAAAAAAAAAAAAAAAGGAAAGGATTTCGTTCTTCATAATCATTGTTTTAATCAGTGGATATGAGCGTATTCTGGAGCAAAATCTAGAGAGTACTGCTTGGTCATTTTCACTAATTTAAAACCCCAATACTTAAGGGTATTTTAATAAATTTATAGGTTAAACTGCTTTTTAAAACTTATATCCTTTATTATTTTAACAATATGGTCTTTTCCGGAAGAAAAACAGGCAGTTGTGGTTGAAAATGGGAAATTGAAGTATGAAATACAAGAAATAAGGAAGCTAGTTTAGGAAATGAAACAACTGATGAAGTCCAATTAGGAAGAATTTGAGGCTGAAAAGGGGAAGTTGAGGTGTGAAATTCAGGTGAAAGACCAACATATGAAGTCCAATATGGAGACACTTGAGGCCGAAATTAAACTATTAAAAGGTGAATTCGAATCTCTAAAAAAAGACAATGTCTCAGTGAATTAGAAGGTGCAAACTCAGTCAACAGAACTAACTGAACTTCGAAATACACTTGATGAGCTAAAGAAACAAAAGAAAACTGATCTGCCTCTTGTTTTATGGTGGACTGCCACTACAACAAATTTGCCATGTAGTTACGGACAAAAATCGTGACTATATGGAAAAAAACTCTAGATATTGTCTCTTCAAGGCTTATATCGACAGACAAAAAAGTGTAAGTATATATACTCTAGCTATAGATATCTAGCTATGCTTGTAGTCATAATTTTACAGTTTTACATGTTGTAAGTAAAAAGTTAATGACCCTATAATTACGTTTAAGAAACCATAGATAAAGAAAAATATTTATGCTTAAACTATAAGTAAAAGTCAATGACAACAATAAAATAATGGTTATTGTAGCACCTTTTAGTGCTAATATTTGTGGTTGTCAAATGTATCATTAAACAACACTAGTTGTTATAAAAAAATTGCATATTGTAGCAATTTTAATTGTTCTTAAAACAAATATTTTGCAACAAATATTTGTGGTTGTTAAATATATTATTAAACAATACTATAAATTGTTGCAAAAAGTTGCATACTGTAACAACATTAATCATTCTTAAAACTAATATTTTACAGCAATATTTGTTGTTGTCAAATATACTATTTAATAACACCATAAGTTCACATTTTGTAACACTTTAATGATTTCTAAACTAGTATTCTACAATAATAATAGTTATTGTTAAAAATTTTATAACACAACAAATTTTATGGAGTGGTTACAATAATTTCTTTTAGTAGTATTATTTGTTATTACTAAATATATTATTTAGAAAAATGATGTGTGCACACCCGGATCCAACACCCGGGTATGCACACTCCGTATAAAAAAAAA